CATATTATTGTATAATTATAAAAATAAATTTATATTAAAAAATTTTTTAATATAAATCTGTTGTATATTAAGCATGAAGTTATTTGTGTAAACCAAAAATATTTTACACTAGATGTTTGAACTGTGAAAAAATAGTAGAATAAAATTTCTTTCATATAAAAAAAAATCCATAGTGGAGGACCTTTTGTACATCTCTCATGAGACGAGATCAAAAAGATGTATAATTGAAATTTAAGTCAAAATGCATCACAAGATGAAAGAACTAATAGTATTATAGACTTTAATAAATGCTTCAATTTTTTTTAATAATAAAAATATAAAATAAAAGATGAAGTAATAGTTTTTATTGCACATCTTTTAACATTTAGTCAGTGGACAAATAGACTTAATTCACATATCGGATTAGAAGCAATAAATTCTAAAGTGACTACCTATTCAAGACTTACAAGCAACTGGTAAATGTGGTATACTGCCCACCATTTTTGTTATTACAGAATACTATAAATACATGGTCTTTCCCAATATTGTGATTGCTTCATATTCACTAGCTAATAATTAGTAATTAATTTACCCTCTCTGAGAGAAAATATACTTGCTAGAATCAATTTTATGCCATTTAATTTAAGAAATATGAAACAATGAATAAGAGAATAGAATAGTGTTTTCTATAAATCCTGAGTGCATTTTCTAAAAAAAAAAATAATCTGATATAGCATAAGAAAAATGATAAATAAATGAAACACTGTAATAAATTTAGAGAAAAAGAAGAAATTCAATATAATTTTTACTGACTAAATATTTTAAGTCAGACTATTCAAAACGATAAATAATTATATATCAGAAATATTTGTCTATAATTCTATTAAATGCTAGAAAATCTATCAGATAAAATACTACAGATCTCTTGTTTTATATAAATGAAAAACAGAAAATCATTAACATTAATGAAGGTTTTAGCAATAGTAATATATTAAATATACAGAAATAACCTATGATTAATTAGAATTTTAATCTAACTTGTAAGTTTCTACTGTATAAAAATAAAGAATAAAAAAATTGATATTGTTACAATCTCCAAGTCATTGATATCATATATATTCTGCACCTGTTTTTTATTTAAATCCCTCTCTCTATACACAAATCAAAATTAAATATCTTAGTTTGAAATGTGAAAATTCTAATGAAAACAAAGTTGAAATGATTGAAGAGGCCCTTTGAAAATGTCAAGTTTTCAATTTCGTCTCTAGTCTCAAAACAAAATTTTCATAAAGTTGGTTCCATGAGGCTTTGAAAATAAAGCACACATTAAATAGCAAAATATGTAATTCTGGACAGAACAAACCAGCAAGTATCACTGGCAAAGATGAAATATGGAAGGTTAATGAAGAAGTTCTCTGAAAAATGTTTCATTTTGGATGATGAACCTTATTTAACCTACTTGCACTCAACAATCAATAGTAATGATGGATTTTATACCAGTGATATCTCCTCTATACCTGTTGATGTAAAGTTTACCAAGAAAAAGAAATTTGATGACAAAGTTTTTGTTTTGATTGCAATGGGACAAAAGAATTGAGTCAAGCCCTATCGAAAAGTCAAGTTTTACTGTTGTTATCTGAAATGAATGTATATGATGTTGCCTGATTCCTTATATCCAAAAAAAACTATTCTCAAGCAGAATATGTCTTCTGGCCAGATCATGCAAATTCCCACTACACCAAAAATGTATTGGACTACCTGTGACAAGAAAACATCACCTTTATTGAAAAGAAGGATAACCCTGCAAATGCACCAGAAATTAAACCAATTGGGGATTTTTGGGCAATTTTCAAGACAACTGTTTACAAAAAGAGGTATAAGGAAAAAAGAAAAAGAAAATAGATCCATTGATCAATCAATCACAAAGTATTGTCTGATAAATATGAAACAGTCTCGTATAGAAACTTGTGCTGCACATTTGAATCAACCATATTTGATGATTGAAACTTGTACAATTACAAAAATAAAAGATAATATACAGCTTTTCATCACCTTTCAAATGCTTAATTGTAGTTTGTAGAGTTTTCATTAGAGAGGTTGAGGCAGACGTTTTAAATGTGTAAACGTGTAGGTCGGACATTCGGCGCCGCTTTCCATAAGCCTAAAAGTTTGACAATGGTGTTTGGATAGTCGGTGGAATCACGCTCGACATTCCAAACACCATCGTCAAACTTCTAGGCTTACGGGAAAGCGGCACCGAACGTCCGTCCTACACGTTTACAACGTCTGCCTCAACCTCTCTATTTTTTCCAAGATAAAAACTTGTGCAGATTTTTCAGGATACTCATTACAGTATTTTTATTTGTAAAATATACAAAAATATTAAATAATAAGATTGGATACTTATAATTTACAATATAAATAAATTAAAATAAATATTTAAATTTTATTAAATTATCATTTCAAATTGTATTAATTATTCAAGTTTTCTGCAGATGGCAACACTATCTGTAGTCAAAATTATTGAGTAATTAACTCAATTCAAACCTAATGATTTTCATTATTATGTTTGGCACTTACAGTAACTATTATTATATCCTGGTATATTTTATATTAAATGTAGATTTAATTTTATTCTTTTAATTAATAAATTAAACAATTTGTATACATTATTATAGTGGAGTTGGAGTCAGTAAAAATGGACAGACTCCAACTTCTGTTTTTTTTTTTTTAATTATGTACTTTATACTGGTTCAGGTTAAAGCTCCTGATAGGAATATTAACCTACTATTTTTTATTATAGGAGTCGTCTTTAATGTGAGATCTTATTTTATGATGATGATAATGATGATTCCCATACATCATGATCTTTCTTTGCACATTAATGTACTAATTACTGTTGATTTTCTTTTCAGAAATTTATATTTGAATACATTCTGTACTAGCTAATTCTAAATTTTTATTGTCAAAAGACCCATACAAAATGGCTAAGATGACTCAGATTAAATCTAGTGTTTTTAAATACTTTACTATAACCATTGAAGGAAAAATAATCTCAGTAGTTCTGATAAGAATGCCTGATGAAATGCCATTATAGGTTAATATCAAAGTATATTTTAAATTATTTAGAGGCAGGACCTTCTAAAATTCTATGAGTCAGAGTTGGAGCTTGGTTTACCAACTCTGCAGCCCCACTATTTAGTTACAGCAAAATAAAAATAAGCCAATTTGCAAGGAAACAGATTAGTTATGAAAGATTTATAAATTGCAAAGATAAATTTTACTATTTTGTAGCAATCATTTATCATCCATTTTTTTGTTTTACCAGATAATTTCAAATACTTTAAATATTTTTACTCTAAATTTATGCAAACCACTTTTGTAAGTTACTATTATAATAATACAGTAATTCTTTCAATATAGTATTGCAGATATTATTATTATCTTACCTTGTTGAAATGATAATACAGAATGATAGGAAGATTCTAATCTTGAAATTCTTTCTGATACAGACATTACATCTGGGTCTAAGGCAAGTATTCTATTATATTGTCCTGAACATAATATACAGGAAATCATATTTTCTTGACTCTTACAGCTGCATTTAACTGAAGATAACTTAGCTGCTTTCGTACCCTTTAGATGAATGTCTGTAAGCCAGTACAATTTTCTTTTCCTGAATGCTTTTAACGGACGTGTTCTACTCACACCAGGAAGATAGTGTTCAGATCTGTCTGAAATACTGGAGTTTTTAGCATTTTGTATATTATAGCCATTTGATTTAATCCAATGACTATCTTTGTGATTATTATTGTCCACAGAGGATATGCTTTGAAACTTTTCATTTGTGTTATCTTCTAATTCAGCAGAATGAAAAGAATTATAACTTTCTTTTGCAGAATGAAATTTTTGACACAGGGCATTCAATCTTCGAATGCGCTGCTCCAAATCAACAATCTGGGCCTGCAGCCATATCCAACGACGAGCTACTTCCGCTCGATTAACTGCCCATTTCCATACTGCACGTTTATATCTGAAAATAAAATATTTTATCAATTTTTCAAAATGCAATTAAATTTTATAATTCAAAAATAAAACAAATGGACTTCTAAAGAGAGTTTGTAAGTATTCAAATGAATTCACTTTTTTCCTTTTTCTACATAATTTGAAACTCAAAACTGATACAAAATAAAAAAATAAAGCAAGAAATAAAAATTCAATATGTGTATTGAACATAAATATGAATGAAAACTTTTTGTTGTAAGTAAATACAATTTAAATCCATAGATTTTCAGCAGAAACAGATTCTTAAATTTTCTTAGTTACAATTTTTCTTAACTGTAATTATTACATTCATTTAAAATCAAAATTTCTATATAAAGAAAACATTTTGTAAAAAAATATGTTATTTATATATTTTAATATTTATAATATTTTTATATCAACATTTCTACATTTAAACTTTTATTAGAAAGTCATGTAATTTTCACAATAATTACATATATACTTGAAGATTATTTATTCATTCTACTCATACTACCATCAACTAAAGTATATGTACTTCCCTTTTCTGTCAAATAAATTGAGTGGTGATTATCAACTGTAAGCAACATCTGGAAGAGATAGGAATAAAAAAAATACTTGTCTTTCCATTAAAATAAATAAATTTCTGTATTTTTGTTGTTTTTTTAATCTAAACTCTATCTCAATAAAAAGCAATTTTTATGAAAATTTTATTCTATAAGTCTTTACTTATACTTTATATTATATGTATATAATATGCAGATGTTAAAATCACAGTTTAAATGCATGTAAAACGACATTCACGCCATAAACTCGTTAAATAACATTACCCGGGAAAAAAGAAAATGAATTTATAATTAGTACATCGAAAGCCGACAATTAACCTCAAAATAAATGTGAAATTTTCTCTGATATAGGTTATGTAAATTTATACGCCTTCAAATTGATAAAAAATATATAGATTTAACTTTCTGGTAACAGCTTCATTTTATAGAATCGGTTAATTATCCGTCAGAATATGTTAAAACATGAATAATTTATACTGTTAATTTAAATAATAGCTGAAAATCATCGCAATTATTTAATAAATTAAACAATTTGTATACATTATTATAATGATAACGCTTGCAAATTAATATCGGAATACTGAATTAAATTCATAATTAATTCTAGTTATAAACAGACGTTACGTCGCATCACGAAATAAATCACATTGTAATTTGGCCGCAAACAATGAGCACGACTTTCCATATACTTAAAAATCTCTTTAGCAGATGTTTATTCGCATTACAGAAATTCGATAAGAATTCTGCATTAAAATTTCTCGATGCGAGTTACAAGCTACACGTATAAAATAATATTTTATTCCTTCATAAATCATTCTACGACAATATGCCAGCTTACGTAAGACGCTAAAGGAAAGAGACAGCACAAAAGAAAAATGTATTGGAGCGTGATATTTTTATCTCTTACACGATATATATACTCGAAAGTTATTTCTGATGATAGAAAATAAACCAAGCGCTCATATAACAAATTATTAAATCAGAATTACATTAAAAGATAATTCGATCCTTATAAAATTCTCGTAATAATCGATTGACTTTTCCTCCTTATTACATAAGCGCATTTTTTCCCGTTCGTCTACTTCATATTTATTCTNCGTTCCCTAATTTATTTTAGTGATTTATCATTTTTTTACTCGACGATGAATTACTTAACACGCGATAGATTAAAATTCTTTCATATACGAGATGATTCCGAATTTTAACGAATATTAATATTAATAATTACGATATTAAATTATTAAATAATAAAGGAGAAGCGCAGACTTTAAATAATAAAAGATGAATATTTAAAACGTTTTCGTAGGTTAATTGACTGTTAATCTAATTAAAATTTTCTTATAATGTGTAATTAAGCTGCAGAAATTGAAATTGGTACTTTTTTAATGCTGAAGAACACTTACATCGTTTAATTTTTGACATTTTCAAATCGTATTAAATAAAGCCAGATTATATCGAATGAATTGAACATATATATATGCTAAAAAAAGAGACATAATAAATATCATGTTAATGTAAGATGACCTCATTTGCTGGTGTCTAGTTCTATTCTATTGATCAAATAAAGCAAGGTGCCCGGTAGACTGCTACGTTATTTTATTCAAACAGGCATAAAGTGATTAATTAAAATTTATTTTCGACTTAAAAAAAAACTTTCAGAATGATTAAACGGAGTAAAAAAATTCTTTAAAAGTCGATACTGATCCTAATTATTAGCTTTTAATTTTTTTTTAACTGTACGTATTTAAAACGATATAGTTACACGTGAAATCTTTAAATATTTATAAAGTTAACTTAAACTTTTAAAAATTGTGTAAAAAATAAATTTAAAAAATATTATTTATTAATAATCTGTCATGTTTTATCCGCTTCTAAAAATTTCTGTATTTTAGATATATCATCCATTTTAAAATATGTAAAGAATAAAGAGAAGGAAGTATTTTCCTTATCAAATGAAAAAGAATTCGATAAGATAAATGAGATTTTTAAAAATATTCATACAATATTTGATAAAATATTTAAACAAATTTTTTCTTTATAACTGAAAAAACAAAATAGTGACTAAAAGCACAAGTGATTTATAAAGTTATAAAAAAAATAATAATAATTCAAAAATTTTAACAGTAAATTTATTTAAAGTTAAAAAAAATCGCCTAAAGCTTTAATTTTCTTCTTTTGCATTTTAAAATGATGAGGTTAATATAAACATTATAATTCTAATTAATGAGGAAAAAAGATTTCATACAGTTAAAAAAGAATTGAAACCGAATTACTTTAATTAATAATCACTTTTTCATCTTTAATTTTATTACATATTAAAATAAGATCTTATAAAATACTTAAATATACAAAAAAGTACCCCAAAGAATGATAACGATTCCTGGTAATGTATAATCTTAATGTGTAATAAAAAGAGGCTAGCCTATCTGTCAAATAGCGGATTTGTAAATATATAACAATTTCGATGTAAATTTACTGATAAGAATCGGGAAAAAATCTGTACACAAATAAAATAAATTGTAAGAATATTCACCTTCACGAAAACACTGAATGAAAAATATAATGTACAGAAGGGATGTATCAATCAACACGGCAAAAGAAACGTTTAATTATATCGTAAACAAAGCATTAATCCGATAAATCCAATAATTTGAAATATTTATTACTGTAAACGAGTATTCTCTTGAAATATCGTAAAGATTAGTCCGACTCTAAATAAAAATGGAAACAAACAAGCCGGGAAATTTTATTAAATGAAAGGAAAAGACGGAAATCAGCAGGACATTGAACTCATTACAAAAGATGCCTATACATTTCAACCTTATAAATGCAACATAGTAATGGTAAAATTATTAATAATATGAAAGTAATACGTATTCTAGAGTAGTCCGTGAATTAACGAATTTATATTTATTATATATAATATTCGTAAATGTAATTTCAAATATATTATGTTAAAGAGCAATTAATCTATTTGATATGCTTAGTACTTATCTAGATCTCACCACTTGGGGTATTTTTAATTATGAAATCTGTACACATTTAAATTTCGTATGATTTATTAATGTTATCGAGAACCGAGATAAAGTTTAAAATTGATTCCTGTGTTGAAATTTATATAAAACTAAATTGAATAGTACCACTTTCGTAGACAAATCTAATCGATTTTTCCTTTCGACGTTCTGGGAGAGATTGAAGGACACATTTCTACTTTAACATATTTTAAAAATAATTTTAATGATTAAGTGAAAACAAAAGTAACTGCGTAACCACAATCAAAGCGATTAACTTATACTCGCGAGATTGTCGAAAATTATACAAACTTTCACTATTTAAGGCTGTTATAAAAACTATACAATGTTATGTGCTGTACGATATTTAACTTGTACACTTATCTGTTCAATTAAAATTTCTAAAGGATTGATAAATATTTTTTAAATGTCACTGGAAAATTATTTGCTCGATAAATCCTTATATACTGGAGGATCTTAAGTATGATTTTACACACACGCACGCACGCACGCACGCACACTGTATATAAAGAGGAATCCTCACTTTCGATCGCTTCTAACCTTATTTTATGTCATTGTACTAATAAATTTCCATCTGAAACGGGATAGTTGTTTTCACGATACGGCCATTTTATCGTTTGTAATTATAGCAACTTTCATTTTATAATTAACTGAGTAATGTTTCATTTTTTTAAACTTGAAGCAATGCAATTATCTCTACGTAATGGATAGTTTCGCGTATCTGACCGAACATTATCAAATGTCATTTTTTCGCTTTTTATAAGTCGAATACGAGGCATTAGACCAAACATAATAACGATAGATAAATCTTTAAACCTCTCTAGTTATTCTAACATTTTAAAAGCAGAAAAACTTTAATCAATAGTTCTTTTCCTTCTTTTCCCCTTTTTATGAAGGTTACATAGTATTTAACGCGATAATATATATTCGGAGTGGGCTAACCAGTCATGGTAGGAGAGAGACCGGTTAGCGAGAAGAATGAAGATGTGGAGAAGAGGAGATTGACCGGAGAAACGATCCTAAAATCTCAAGGCAGTGACTAAAAACGTCTAACTAGACAAGTATTGCTTGTCATTGCCATCTGGTCAATTTGTGAGATTGAAAACGAAACTTTTTTCCAAATCACGCATCAATATTTTTACATTTCCCATTTCAAGAATGAGAATTTAATTAACGATTATTTAAGATTGAAATTGAAGAGCAAGAACGACAAACAGTCTGATAACCGGATTGCCTTATCTGATGCAAGAGATAATAGTCCAGTGCTTTAGCACTTATCTCGAAGAATGATAGAAAAGAAAGAAAACAAATATTAGTAAGCGAGATAAAGTTAACGTTAATTCTACTTCGGAAATTTCGCACCATCCATAACAGAGAACAAATCTTAACTAGTTACTTGGCTTGAAACATCG